AAGTGAAATACATACTACCTTACAGCAGAAGTTTGAATTATTTGAATTTAGGGTTCATAAAACCTAAACAATGATTTTAATGGTTTGAATGTTTATTTTTCTAACTGAAAGTGGAGGGGAATAGTAGCAGGCGGTTAGAAGTCAAAAACCTTGTAAATGTTTTCTAAAATTCACACAAATGAAATGTGGAGATGTGCTTTTTCAGCTGTGCTGCAGAGTATTGCTCGCAAGAATCAATGGCCCCTGGACAAAATGACTCTGACTGTTGATGTAACAAAGAAGATGAAAGAGGACTTTGGACACCCTCCAAGAGAGGGAGCATACATCCACGGACTCTTTATGGAAGGTCAGAATCAATAAACCAAAAATATCCACCACTGTCTTCAGCTATGTTTTCATTATACTTTACTAGACCTACAGTATGTAGTATGAGCAGGAACATGTCTATGTCTGTCCTCCTAGGGGCTCGTTGGGACATTGAGTCAGGGATCATCTCTGAGGCCTTCCTTGGAGATCTGACCCCGGCCATGCCAGTACTGTATGTTAGAGCTGTGCCTGCAGAGGAACAGGAGCTCAGGAACACCTTTGAATGTCCAGTGTACCGCACAAAGCAGCGCGGCTCCACATATGTGTGGGCCTTCCACCTCCGAACTAAAGAGCCCCCACCCCACTGGGTGGTAGCTGGAGTTGCTTTGCTCTTGTCTGTGTGAGAAAGTCATTAGGTCAGGGGGAAGCATTTTAAAAATGTGCTTAAAAACTCCCCGAAAAACCATATATATATGTATGTCTTTTTTTTTTTTTTTTTTTTACAGAATGTATTATGTAAGCAGTATTAATATCATGTATGTGTTTCACTGACACAATCATTCACATTTAGTTTCATAGTTTTATTTTGATTTGTTTTAGGAATTACATTGTATAGATTATAGTCCAGCCAGTGTTGAACCTGCTGTGTCTGCGTCCACCACTCCCTCGAGTGTGACTGGGATTTGTCGGGAGATTATGTCTCTATATTAGGCCATGTAATTTTGGATGAGCAGCATATTTTATTAGAAGGTCAAGATTAAAAAAAGCTCTCTGGCTGCCCTCTGCGAACTGAATGATACACAATGCTGTCTGGAGGGATCCCGGACCAAATTCCCAGGAGATGATGTGCATGGCCGCTATTGACTTTTAAATGAGGTGCATTTGACATTGACCTTTTGTACTGCGGAGGCAGAATACTAACAGACTAGTGTAATTCATTCAGCGAAGCCTGTTGCAAAAACCTATTGAAAGGAACTGATAGCTTTGTATGAGAAAGCAACACATTAGATTACCCATCCTTTATCTGTCTTTTCCTCTCTGTCTGCATCTGATTAACCTACTCAGAACTAAATAAAACCTTTAAGTTTGAATCAGTGCACAGAGGGAATGATCTTATCAAAAAATGCTATCTTGTTCTTATCAAATTAAATGAGGTTAATTGAAAAGTGAGAAGATTCTCAGATTGTTGTTTTATTACTTAAAAAAATAAATGATTAAAACACTGTTCATTTCAGAAAAGCCAAATTTTAGAATTATGTACTAGAATTGTTGTATTGAACAAAATTAATCATAACACTCGAAAATTAACCACTGAAAGAAACGTTTCACATTTATTATGTAGTTTCTTTGAATAAACCATTAGCTAACTTCATGATCCTAATGTCATCGGAGTAAACAGAGGCCACATTATTGAAAATGTGATTCCAATTGCCGCCCTGCCTCACACTGGTGTTTTTGGGGTGTTGGGAAGGTAAAACCAGCCCTTTTTCTCCAATAAGATTTTCTCCAACGATAATAACTGTTGTGTTGTTCTTAATTCCTCCCTGCAGCCTCAGTGGCTCCAGACAGACAAATGGAGGATGGAAGATTGATTCTATGTATTGTATTCCAGGAGAGGGAAATGAAGAGCCGGTCTTCCTGCAGATTCTCCTCATCTGCCTTCTCTTCCTCTCATTAGCACGCCGCAGCAGCTAGCCAGTCATTTGGTGACAGGGAAATGATACAGTGCCTGCAGTGTTTGGGAGGAAATGGCAGGGTGCGAGGCCCCGGCACGGCGGGGGGTCGTGCCATGGATAAGTCATGTTAAAGGCCAAAGAGGACACCTGGTTAAAGTCAGAGAGGGCATCTGGGTCATACCTCCGCCCCCCATCAAAACAGTAGGAGTTGGAAGTTATTTTTTTCTCTTAACTTTTTATTTTCTTAGACACTTTAAACTTTTATCACTTGAAATAACAGGATTAACCTAATTATTAGTTGACTCACAAGTTAAAGATGTTTTGAAATGAACGGAGAAATTGTCTGGAAACCATTAAAAGGATTTTGCATTTGACCAGTTATCCTGTGAGTGCAGCATTCAGAAGCGTTATCAGATGGTCCTGACTTTTCCCTTTAATGTACTTGTTTGTTCAGCACAGATTAACAACAGATGTTATGTTAAGGCATATTCAAAGCTAATTTTTCTCCTGTCTACAGAAACCAAGTTAATTGCATCAAGTCATCAAATTGTTTTATTAGATTATTACCATCATAATCTTGTAGTGTTTTTAGTATTTTGTATTTCTTTTGTATGCCTGATTATTTTCTATGTCCTTTAGCTTTGATGTATTCTCCTTATTGTCATTATTTTCTAAAAGATGTCACATTACTTTGTCCCTCCTCCTCCCTCACGTTTCTTAGTGTTATGGTTGCAGATGATTGTTAGGCCTGTTTCTTCGTTTGGTCTTTGTTCCTTTTCTCTTTCAGTTCAGGTTCCCTGCTCGTGTCCTTGCCAAAGTTGTTCCACCTTTTTCTCATTAGTCTATCACACTGCTTGAGTAATTAAACCCATTGACTTCACCTGTTCTTAGCCATCACTTTCACCTGTTTCCCTTGTATTTAAGTTTTTGATTTGTCTTTGGTCAATGCTGCATTCTCTATCTTTATGCCCTGTTTCCTCGTTGAGTACCTTGCTCCTTTTCATGTCACAATGTGTAAGTTTTAATTGTTATTATTAAATTCTGAATCATGCCTCACTTAAGTGTCTATGTTTGGGCTGGAAGGTGTTACCTGAGAGAAGGATGCCAAGGTTTCCCTCCCTGGAAATATTAACTCAGTGATCTGATGTCATGTATAACATCTCTGGTAATATCCATCTCGATGATATGACTATGTTATGTTAAAGCATTTTGTTTACATTTCTAGTCCTCAGATAAATGAAAATCTACTAAAATACCTATCAGCAGGTCAGAACTTTTCAAATCTGGTGATTAGAAATCAGGCACAGAATCTCGGTCAGTGGATGAAAAGGTTTTATTGCATGCACAGTTGACAGAGGTGGTCAGTTCATCACTGGACACGTAGAGCAGCGAACAAAAAGGATTAAACAAAAGCATAATAATTTTTTGAATCTGTAGAACAAATTAAGAATTAAATAAATATCGATATGGAGCGTTTTAGCATGTATCCACAATATAAATACTCAACTGTACATAGTTAAATATAAATTTTGAATTAGATAATTGTTGTGTGTGTTAACTGAACAGTTTTACTCCTGTAGCAATATTTCACTACAATAATAGATTGTTGAGTTTGCAAACACCCAATGTGTGAGGAACTTGCTGTCTGTCCTAATCTTTAGCTAAATAATCAGAAATCTGTAAGTATTAAGCTAATTCATTAGGTGCTAAAAGCTTCTAAAACTCATTTAAAACAGATTTAGTGAATAATTATCACAGGAACTATTTTATATGTTGCATTTAAACTTTACATTGTATTTTCAAATTTGACCTTTGAACTATTAGAGAGCTGCTTTAATAATTAAGTCTGTTGACCAACAACTGAAATTTAGACTAATTTTAATCTTTATTCAGGAAATTTTATAGTGAGGATTTGTATAATCTTGAAGACATGGAAGAAAATTACATGTTAATTGTTCATGTTTTCATCAAGCAAAGAACCTTGAATTGCCTTTTTTCTAAAATGTGCTATGCAAATTAACATTGCATTTCTTCAGGTCACTTTAAAAGTCCTCACTGGACTTTAGGTCTGTTCTAACGAACCTCCTATTCCCTGTAAGTCGTCTCTAAAGTTTTACAATATGAAAAGTATATAACTTTTAGTATGGTCAAAAAAAACATTTCTAAATGCCTGTACATGTCAAAGTCTCTCAGGAAAATCTTGCCAGTTTAAAATTTAAGAAGGAAAGAAAAAAAAATCATGGTTAGCTTTCATTCTAAACAATAATCGCCATCTCCTTTTATTCAACGGGATGATTACGTGTTGTAGAAAAATAGTCATGTGAAAACAGCCTCAGTCTTGAGTGAATGTAACAGAAGTTTTGATAATTTTGCTCTGTCAGTATAAAGGACTGCTATTTAGGAAAAGAAAAATATAATAGAATCCACTTTTTTTTGTTTTTAAATCAACGTTCAAGTTTATTTAGCTCTCATGTTACCTCAAGAACTTCTCTGATTGGTTGAGCAGTTCCTGGAGATGACTTTTCACCCTTCATGTTGTGGGTAAGTGGAGACCCAAGACTGACCAAACATTTGAATTAATCAAGGTTTTCCCCAGCAGAGTCAGGGACGTCTTGTGTACCTTTTCGAAGATTTGGTTTTGTCAACTGCTTGTTCCTGTCATTGTTCACAAAGTCAAGAAGAAAACTACTCTTTTATGTGAATGTTCTGCTATTTTCTGGTTTGTCCTCACAACACTTTGGAAAGGTGGTCATTGTAGGGTCTCTTAACAAGTACTGTATTTGTGCCTTGGATTTCTTGTCAGTTAAGACGAGAGACGATGTTGAAGCCACACACTCGCAGAGGTCCAGGAAGGACCAAGTAAGGCGCTTTTTGCTGTTCTTGTGCTAACAGGAGATGAATCGAGGCAGGTTTTAAACCTTGGGTCTACCTCCTTGTTTTGTTCCAAAGATTAAAATAGGTACTACAATCTAAGTTTTGAAGCTACTGTCTGTGGGCACCTGAGACACTGAGCAACTCTGACTTTTGATAGATTTTAATCAGCGAAGACAAAAATTGGACCTTCAGTTCACTTGACCTAAAACTCCCCACTCTTGTCACGGTTTGTTGAATTAGCGTCAGGTCTTTTTCTTCTCTTCTTTGATTGAGATCTCTTGATTTCACTGATTGCGAGCTCCAGGGGATTTTTCTTTTCCAAACTTTTTTGAACTTTTAATTTTAGCATTGGGTCTAAATAAAAATTAAAGGGAACCTACAAATTTTTTGACATTTGTGTTCTAGAAACAGTCCAAATGCTGAAAAAAAACAAACATCTAGCCTTAGCCAGGTCATTCTGAAAGAAGCTCATAAGTGGCAGAACAGAGGAGGTGAAATCTCATTTTCCAATGATTCTGAGAAAGAAATTTAATGACCATGTTATTTTACAGCCCATATATCTCTTCTAACTCGTTTTAATAGGAATCTTCCTTTTTTTAGCACTGTATGTAAAGTTTAAATTGATTTTGTTGGGGTATGAAAGACGAATCATGACCATTAATGCAATTTAAAGTCACTTGAGAGCGTAACAGTATTAATCAACTGGAAGTATTCATTGCAGTGTGCCATTGAAACAGAAAAAATTCCCTTGCTAACTCCTGCCATCTGGAGGTCTTCATGAAAACAGCAGCAGCTTTGGACCCCATAAAGATGTCTTGATAAATGGCTGGCACTAGAGGCTTCTGCTGTTGTTTGCAGTTCAGCGGCTGGCGCTGCAGCTTTCCTGTTGAGTAATAGTTGAATGAATCAGTCACGTGGTAGTGGATCCAAACTGTTTCTGTGGCCTTCCTCACATGTGTCTTTCACTGCTTGTTTAGGTCTCTGGTGACAGCCTCATGTTACTCCATCTTGTGTGTTTGAGTCAGAAACGTGCATACCTCCCAGCACAGGACTGCTGACCGAGTCCTGTGCACTACGAGCTGAGACAGTGATCAGTTGGTCCTTGGCAATTCCACAGAGTGGGAAGAATAGAAAAAGCTCCTGTCTACGCACGAGGCTCCAGTCTGTGTGACAGTTCGAACAGAGTCTGCTGATTGTCGATGACATGAAGGTAATCAGTGTAGGATCGAACCTCTGAGCTGCTCTTCTGGGCAATTCCATTTCCTAGAAGAAGGACATTATTTTATTTCTAAGCTGTGATGCTATTAATCCACAAGTGTTCAAATGCTTGAAACACTATCCAAAAGTAATTAAAAATTGGGACAGGGTGAATAACTAGAACCAATCTCTTTGGTTTCCTTAGATATTGGAATAATAAACTGAAGTTTACAGAGTTTGAAAAGTATAGGATCAGTTCAAATGCATCATTAGATTGAGTTAACTACTTGAGATCCTAAAAGCATACTCCTCTCCGTGTTTATAGATGTTTCCCTGCTTTAGTACACCTGATTCAGATGTCTGCAATTCAGTAAAAGCCTGTTACTCAGCCATCCCCTGAAATAAGTTTTGCTGAAGCAGAAAACCATCTAAAACATGCAGGACGGTATGACTTGAGGGAACACTGCTTAAGTCGATGGTTCTCAAACATTCTGTCTCATTGAAACTACAAACACCTTGTAGATCCATCAGCCAGAGGTTGGAATAGGACAGAAATTGGAATCAGATATTTATTTTTTTAATCAACTCTGAGTGATGGGCAGCTCAAATGCTAAGTCAGAATTATTTTTTCTTTTAACATCAATTCTCCCAGTTTTTGTTTTAACAATGAATGTCTTGTATAAAAATTTAGCAATACCTGGTGTTAAACAAAAAAAAAAAAAGATCTCATTGTGGTTACCAGTTTATAACGTCACATCTTGCATGACAAGCGATCTGAATACTACTGACCCATGCGGTCTTGCTGACACTCTCGGATGAGTCTCGCCATGTCTGCTATCATGTGCTGGAGGATACAGGTAAAGACTTTGATTAAGCATTTTCCGTACTGTATGATTCCTGTCCAGAAGATAAAAGGCACAAAAACTTACCAACTTCTCAAAATTGACCAGATTATCGTGAAATGTTTTGTTGCCTTCATGGATGAATGTGATGTCTAAAAGGGAAAAGATTTATATTTAGTGAAAAGTTTAAAAATTTGGGTGTAAAAATGGAATCATCCGATGATTGTGACAACTCCCCGTTTTACCCCAATGTTATGTTTTTGGGCTCCTGAAGCAGAAGAGTAAGAAACACACCCTTTAAGAGTAAAGGAAGAAATGGGATCTTGGGGGACTTCATCTTCTTGAATGAGTCCCTGTATGCCTTGTGGTTCAGAGAGGGATCCTGTGAAGAAATGTTCAAAATGAGTGAAACTCTCCAGGGAAGAGTGTGTGTGTGTCTGTGCATGCAGACATCATTAGAAGTGAATTCTGGAAGGATTCGAAGCTAATGATCACATGAACCTGACATTCTTTAGCGAAGTAAAACATGTTTGGTTTTAGCTCCTTGTATTCCCCTGGCGCAGCATGATTAACATCAACGCTCTGCTTTCAGCAGTCAGAGGTAATTTAACAATTATCTATGAGTAGTAGACTCACCGTGAATGTCTCCAGCTCGGAAAACAATTTCTTAAATTTACCAGGAATTTTCTGCAGGGACAGAAACATTAGTTATTAGTTTTTCCAGACAATTCAACTGTTGCTGCAAACAATAATAAATTGATGGCAGAAGGAAAAGAGGAAATCTAACCTCCCACGTCTGACTGAGGCGGCTTACAGCACCAGCATTCAGGCCCATAATTATGGCAAAAAAGCTGTTGAGGTTCCTCTGTGCTTTACAGCTAGAAAAAAAAAATAAAACCGAGCTTTAAGGTTTATATTTCAGAAGAATTTAAGTAAGTGCAACTTAGTGGTTTGCCACAAGAGGGCGTTGGATTTTCAATCAAATCAAGGCTTTTGTTACAGCAAAGTAGTATTAAAAGGCAATCGGTAATTATTTTTGTGAAAAGTGACTAACTGAGCAGCAATTTTGATGAACTTCTTGATGAGCTGCACCCTTTTGCAGAGCGTTGGGCACAGCAGCACCTCAGTCATGACCCACAGCTGGACTTCATTGCATTGCTGCAGCAGCATCTCTAATGGCATTGTGTAGCTACTGCAAACATGGCGGTTGAAGGTGAAGTAGATCAGTTCCTGCTGTAAGACAAAAAGAAAAAAACTTTAACTGAGGTGGAGTAAGCTATGACAAATAGAAAGATGACACATCCAGAGGTAACTATTTGTGCTTAAGGATGCAAATAGAGGCCAACCTCGTGCATCGAGTTGAAAATTGTCCAGTCAAAGTTGGTGAGTGCAACAGCCACATCCCAGGTATTTAAAGTCAGCATGCGGGCTGTCCTCTGTTGCAAATCTGAGTTATCTGTAAATGGGTTCTATAGAGGAAAAACACATAATTTATTTTATTTTTTTATTATTATTATTATTTGCCAAAGTAATTTTAAATCATCTTTTTTGCTGGAAGACATCAACAGTTAGGCAGAAACATTTCAACAACCCATTTTAGACACAAGAAATCAGATTTTACTGAAGGAGGATTTGATATGAATTTATTATCCATTTGCTAAGATTATTAGGTTTTAAGTATGAAAGCACTTGTTTTCTTGTAGAATTTCTCAACAGAGTAAATTCTACATTGATATTATTTTTTTATTTAAGAGTAATCAGTCAATAATTTGATTTCTGTAAACTTTCCAAGTTGAGAAAATGATTAGGCAATCCTACCAATGATGAAGGCGCTGTGTATTATAGACTGACAAAAATGGATCCTTGTTATTTATCATATTAAGAACTAAAATGACCAAATGGAATGTTTTGCAGTGAAATTTTTGTCTTCAGCAGTAGATCTTATTGAGATTTTCTTAATGGTTGGTTGAGTCAGTTTACAAGTTTTATTTTCCTGATCCATATATGATTTTGGTTTAAAATTTTGTTGTTGTTTTGTTTTACAGTGTTCCTCCTTATTTGTGCCTTCTTTGAAGGCTATTTTACATTTCCCTTTGTCTTTTGTGATGATTTGTATCATTCTCTCAAAAGGCTCAGCTTGCGTCTATATAAATACTGTTTTGAATTTATGTGATTTTAGGCCAGACTTCCCAAAACCTATACTACAATGTGACCCACACATAATTATAAAATCCAATAAATTGTAAATTATTATTTTTTTATTTAAGGAATATTTTTAAGCACTTATGTTCATTAGAATTTTACATCATATTTTTATTTAGTCTTTTTTGTGTTTCTCTGATTTCAAACAATCTCCTCACTCCTTTTTCTTGGATGCAATTCTCTCCCACTAAATCTGCTCCTGAGCCCCATCAAAGTCACAAATCACAATGTCGTTCCTACCAGGACTTCACCGAGGTCCTTCCTGCACACATGAAGCCTCCCCACTGGCTGTAAAGAATTGGAGAAAACTCTGTCCTGAGGCTGCAGGAGGAGTCTACCTGCAAAGAGGAAAACACATCACAAACAGCAGAATGCCATTAAAAATGAGTCAGGTAGCCTGCAAGCATATATCAGTGCTCAGAGATAAGGCTCAATGGCAGCCTGTTCCTCAAGGAAACCAGTTACGTCTGCCACAGAAAACAGATTCTAGCCTGCAATGGTTTGAACCAGGCATGCAGTTAATTCAGCTTATGAGATGGGCTGAATAACTGATAATAAAATGCAATCAATGAAAACAAGTTCATAATCTTTTATTGTACCTGGATGGTCTGCATTTAAATATTCTTCATAATGTAAAAGAATTCTAGAAAGCTTAATTTTTGCTCCAAAAAGTTACTCTTTAGGTGAGCTGTGTTGTGCCATGAGTCATCTGTGATGGTTGTGCGCTGTAAGAGATCAGAGTGGTGTTTACCTCCAGGATAAGTAATGGCCACTAGTATCAGTTCAGATGCAGGAACATCCATCCTTTCTGCCACGGCCTGCAACAGCTCCTGAGCAACCACCTCACAGTGGACCTTCGCACTAAGATACGAGTCCATCGTGACGTACACACGGCAGAGAACTGGAAAAGAAGATGTAGCTATTTTTAATAAGTTTGAATATCACTAATTGTTTTTTTGTTTTTTTAATTTGTCAGTAACTCAATTCATGAGTTGAGATTAATAGCATTGATTGTCCTGTAAAACTGTGGGTATTTGATTTTGCATGGGGCATTGCTGCCATCTGTTGGAGTTTTAGGGAACTGCTTTACTTTTATGCAATGCCTGTAAGAAGCAGGTTATAGGTCAACATGAGTGTTTATGTTAACATGATCTCAATCCATTTCACCTGGAAATAAAGGAAGAAGTAATAAATCCTGACTAGTGTGAAAGGAGTTTGGCTGAAACCTTTTATTTATGTTAAATATACCGATCTGCTTAAGAACTGATGAAAATGCATTTAAAATTAGGAAATCACAGGCTAATAAAAAACAATGTCATTTTTATTCCAGAAATGTGGGCTTAATGAAAAGTTTCATATGTACTAATAGGTTATCAAAATGCACTTTTCACGTGATTAAAAAGAACATTGAGTGTTGATAAGCAAATCAACACTCAAATAAAAACTGATCCAAAAGTGGAAAACATAGTTAGCCAGGAATTTGCATTTCCAAACTTTCATTCCTTGGAAAGAACCGTATTGTTTCAAGCTCCCAGCTTAACGTTTCCTTTCATTCATTTTGAAAATAGTGTAATGATGGGAGGAATGTCCAAAAAACGTCACCTTGCAGGACTTACCTTCCTTGTTCTCTCTCTGTGTGATTCTGGATCTGAGCCCATTCTCTTTCAAGCTCAATTGGTGGGAAAGAGCTCTACCCTAAAAAGCAGAATAAGGGAAGAGCCATTGATTATAATGCATGTTAAGAATTTTAATTTGAGCAACAAAACAAAATAATACTGGTTTTTATGGTGTTAATCCCAGATATGCTCGAGATCTGTTTTTTATGAGAACTTTTCTCTTTTAAAGATATAAAACAGGAAATTCTCACTTACATTTCTGTGTGGTGAATCATCATTCACAGTGCTACAAACAAATAAAAACAGAAGAGAAAAGGTTAAATTATTTTATTTTACAAATCAATTTAAACTTTTATTTCACACCAATTGGTTATTTTTTTAGACTATATACATTATTATCAAATCTTTCTATTAACACATAAATATAAATGTCGTGTTGTGCTAAAGTTGAAGTTTATGCCTCTGACTTATGTCAACATTTATTTAAATTATGCCAGAGGCACATAAACTAAGGCACATGTGATGTGAAAACATGGGAATCACATGAGTGTTTTCCACAAAGTACCAAAATCAAACATAAACATGAACATTTGTGTGAACCACATGTGCATCTTTTATGTGCTACATTATTTTCAGATGTGATTTTTACCTGTGAAATTAATTACATTTTTATTACATATTCAGTATAATCATCCAATCTTTACATGAAAAAAAATCTGATCATATGTGGTGCACATGTGAGAAATATGTGATCACATGTTGAATACATGTTCACATGAACAAAATATTTTTTCACATGTGGAACATGGGAACCACATGTGAATTTAAAGGGATTTTTTGTAAGGCTGTATTTATCCATTACAAGCTCTGCAGCATTCAGTCCATTACTGGCATTCAGTGTCAAGTGGAGATTAAAGTGCTTAGCAGATTTTAGACATTCCAAAGTGATCTCTTCTTTTCATCATCCTATTCTCATCGGTTCGTTCTGGTCTGCATGATATATAGCCCTGTGCCTGTGTTCATTGCTCAGCTTTCACAAGTTTTGCATCCCAATAGGCATGCTGACACAGAACTGGTCCTGAGGGATCCCTCCTTGGAGGCTAGCAGCAGTAGCCTTGTGCTAATGAAAAACCTGATTCCCTTTGTCACGTCTAAACAGACCCCGCCTTACAAAAAGAGCAGAGTCACTGTGGATATCTATGACTTCACATGTCACAGGAGGATACAGAATGCCAAGCAGAAATTGGGTTTTGTTCTCACTGTGAGGTTTCCAAATCATATGACTTGAAGTTCAATTTGCACATAAATCCAGATGGAAGCTGATCAGGAGGCAGGTTGGGAGGAAGGAGCCTCCGTCTATAAAAAACGACACCTTTTCACACAGCAGCAGATTGCCACAGCAGTGGGATTGGCTGCGCTTGTCCCCATCTGAGACAGGACTGATTGTGAAAAGCCCATAAATTCAAGATTATGTCAGTGGGTAACACCCACACACAGTCTAGCAGTATGATGGGGTAGCAGTTGTGTGTTTCCCTTTCAGGATATAAACATAAAAAAGTCAGGCTGAGATACCAGCACCAACAGAAAAATACTTAATTACACATATGCAGATGTTCACTGGGGAAAAACTCAGTTTGGTGGCTGAACAAATTGGTCAGAGGGAGATGGGCAGGACATTAAGTCTGCTCACTCAGGGTTTGTTTAGAAACCAAAGTAACAAGTTTTGTTCATTTTCAAGACTAAAATGATACAACAAAACATCACTTTAGCATTTTAGTTTTTCATGCCTTTTCAACACATCAGTCATGATCACATATATTAGTTCATCAGAATCACATCCAATGCATTCACATTTTACATTTCCAACTTTAATTAGGACATCTTTACGGATTTCAACATGTATAAAGTTGGTGAACTAGCATAAAATTTTACATGGACTATCTAACCTTTACTGATATTTTGACATTATATATTATCCTGTTGCATGCACTCTTTGACATGAGCTTCTGCATCCTGTGATGCAGGATTTAATTTTTTTAAGGGGATTTTAGGGGGGGCAGTATCACTGGATCAACTTAATAACTGGAATCAACTGATTATTATCTGCACTATATAGTCTCCAATCGATGGCAAGAGCAACATGGCAGAATTCAAAGGCACATCACTCCTCAGAGTAAAATATTATATGGCAGTGTCATAAATGAATAAAGAATAAATCTGGCATATTTTAATTGGGCACAGACCTGCAGCCTTTTATGTCAGACCCCTGCTAAGAGCAGCGTCTGTTGCTGTTAGTCTGCCATGATTAAAGTTTCTAAGCAGTCCTTCAGGCTGACCTTTCCTGTCCAACAGCAAGATGTCACACTTGGACTCTGTAGTTGTTTTCTGGAGTTCCACAGTGCATCTTCTTTTATTCAACATTCTCTGATCGAGGCCTGAGGGACTGTCCTGTCACTGCGCTAAAGAGAATCTTTCTGATGTGATTGGACACTTGCAAACACTAATTTCTTTCTTCATGAGAAAGAAAATGCTGCAAGTTGCGTGCTTTGAATAGCACTTTCACCTCTCAAAAGTTTTCTTATTTTGTCACATTATAACCACAAACCCCAACATATAACATATATAACAGGAGACCAACACCAAGTTATTAACTTACCCATCTACACTAATGGAAACAGCGCAAATCTGCCACCACCATGTTTTATAGGAGGGATTACGAGTTTAGAGTGATTTTTAAAGAATGAATATTGATTTGCAAGTGCATCTTGCTTATAACTTTATTCCTGATCTGTCTGCCGTGTTCCTTGATTTTCATATATATATATGTCCACTTCTTTTTTTCCACCAATGCCACACTCTGGAATAACTCAACAACTTGTGTGTTTGAGTCATGTTAGTTTTTTGCCAGCGGAGTGAAGAGACGATGTAGGCATTGCATTCTTTCTATTGCCTAGTTATAGCAATACTTTTTCTCTTATGTGAGAACCACTCCTAGCAGCTTGTCATTATTGCTTAAAACCAGAATTTCCTCTCTTTCTTACATTCCAAATAAAGAGCAAAATGACCTTTAAATCCCCGAGAATAAAACCGCCGAGCACAGAAATTACAATTCCTGAATGGAGTCATTGATGAAAAGCTAAAACGGGAGGCCTGGAGAGAAGAACTCTGTCTTTGTGTTCAAAAGTTCCTCTTAGACCACCAACATGTCATTTCTATTGGATGTCATAAACATGAAAATAAAAAAAGATAGAAAAAATCCAGATACAGTTACTTACTGTCTGCGTCTTAGCTGGTAGAATTTCTGCAACTCTATCACATCTTTCTCCAGGGCTGGGTGCTCATAAAGATCATCGAACACACAGCGATACAAACTCTGGAAGCACAGCAGTCTGTCATCATTCTACGTCTCATCTCACGTTCCACTCATTTCCACAGATATTTCCTACCTTGATGAAGACTTTCACATGTTCGTCCTCTCTCAGGAACTCCTTGCAGAGAGACATCCACTGCCATACCAGGTGCAGGACTTTCTGTTTCCTCTCCAGAACCTCTTTCAGGTCCTCCTTAATTTTGTGCCGCTTGTTGCAATAGGTGATTAATGGTTAAGGATCGGATTTCCATACATTCAATGAGACGATTCAACAGTGTGTGGAAGCTCAAGCACTAATGCTTTTCTTTAACACCCATTTTTTTTGTTTGTAAATTGAATTTGTGTGTGTAATTAGGAATAAATAATCACAACGCTTCTGCAGAAATACCCCCATGCAAGGATATTGTTCCAAAAGAGCTTGACATAAATCGCTGGTTGACATGAACACTGGGTACGTGAGTAGAAAGTCATCCAGAAGCATATCTGCAAAGACACATACATATAGATAAAGGTAAAAAATGTGTATGTTTCAGTAGCAAATGTTCAGAGAGATTTTCCACTTTGAAAAAAGGTATGCTATTACAGGAAAACAGGCTTAAACGCTGCAGGAACCCAGTCTCATTAAAGCAGCAGTACGCTGAAGGGCAGGAACAGTACCGACCCCGGCAGCTGCATGATTAATATCTTCTGAACTGCTTATATTGCTAGGCTGCACTTATGATTCATATGGCCTCACCTTTTTTTCCATGTTCCACTTTAATACCACAAGGATAGCTCGTTCTTTACTGCCAAAAATCATTTAGAGTTCGCTGAGCAACACGAAAACATAAAAAACTTCTCTAGAGCAAAATTATTTGCTGTCAGTCTGAAGGAAATAAAAGTAAACAGAAGCCTTCTTCAGACTCTCATAATAGTTTATGCCATCTGCGTCAATGGAGATAAGCTAACAACGTGACGGTGTCAGATGATGCTTCTCTAGCTTGTCTTTTTATTTTTGCACTTGAAAAGAAAAAATCTGATACAAATCAGATCAGTCATCCTAATCTGCTTTTAGGTGCAAATTTTCTGCCCATTTATCTGTTTATGATTCATCCCAAGTCATGCTAATTGTTCTGCTGCTCAGTTTCTGTGTAATTAATGCAAAGTCAGTATAGTGAACTGTGTTGAACTGAAGTGAACTGAATTAAAGGGAAAATACAGAACTTTGATATTTCAATATTTTCATTCAATGTTACCGCTGCAATCACAGATCAACTTAGTATGTGTTTTGTTAGAAAGATTGCTCTTGTAAATATTCTTATAGTGATATATAATTTCTCTTACTGGTACCCATTGTTTTTCGTACAAAAAGTCAAAAATACTGCCAGTTATTCATTTAACAATATTTTATTTTGCATTGTAGGATCAGTCCTTAGACCAAGAATTGTAAATTACTTCCTTTAATTTTACCGCAGCTTCCAGAGTCTTTTGTGAGTGTTCCGGTCCAGCAGACGCACCGACATCATTATGTTAATCCGTTCAGAGCAGCTGTGCATACATAACTCCCCGCTTATGAGGGGGTTACTCTCTCACATGCATGTAGCAGTCATAAACAACACAGTGACACAGCCTTAACAGAAAGTCTGAAAACAACAACAGGGAACGAGAAACTACCTCACAAGCTGCAGCACTTTCACAATCCTCTGTAATATCTAGCGTGTTAAGGACCATTTCTGGTATATTTTCTAGCCCCCTCAAGACCAGTATGTCTTATGGAGAACCATTTGTCTTTAGAAATGAGACAAAGTGTGGTTATAGCGTTCCCCCGAGTTTAGGCTCAAAGGTTATGTTTAGAGGTAGGCTGTGAATTAGGATTTGGGATATACTCGTCGTCTGCAACAGACTGGCGACCTGTCCAGGGTTTACCCCGCCTCTCGCCCGGAATATTAGCTGGAGATACCCGAACCCTCTGGGGACAAGGGTGTAAGAAAATGGATGGATGGATTTACTAGTCGTGATTAGGAAAAATGTCTGGATTGGGCATGAATCCTGTTACTGAAAGTCAAAACACAGTCCTAATATGGATAGAAATACAAATATTGAATTGAATATCCTTTATTTATTTATTATTCTAGAGGGAAATTCACATTTCAGTAAAACTTGTCCAAAGAACAACATACAAACAACATGGGAGACAGGTGCCTGAGACTGCAGCCCAGAGGGGGCGTCACCTTTCATTAGATGAGACAATAAAGGAGGGATAGACTGAGGAAGAAAAAACTTTACATGAGCGATCAACGGTTCCTAAAAAACATGACCAATGCCAGAGGGTACGGGCCCATGCATTCAGGAAATGTTCTAACATGCACACATATTAAGTATTAATTTTGTGTATATAGTCAATACTAAATAAAATTATTTGAAAAGTGTTTCTTCTGTTTGAATATATTTAGTACATATTTGTATTTTAGTCTTTAAAATGACAGAATTTGTATTTTAGTCTTTAAAATGACAGAATTTGTCTCACTTTATATTTTGTCTGATGACATCATTTCAAAAATAATTAATAAGACTACATGACCAGTTGCTCTGTTCTGATCAGTGCAAGCTATACAGTGAGCACAGGAATGTGTAATTATTATTATTTTATTTATTTAGCGTAAAACAAGAGTCTTTATATTTGAATATGACAGTCATCCACCTAATGGGATTCCTTTTTGTCCTGTCACAAAACACCACGGAGATCCTGTCATTACAGAAACAAATGATCTAGAACATGCTTCTGAGAGCTGGCTGCTCTGTGCAGTGAAGGAATCAATAACTGCATTTCAGATGAAGCCCAGGAAAAGCTGCAACTGTCCTGCATGGCTCTTGTGTATGCAAAGGAAGGAAAGGAAAGCAGCCTTTCACTCAGCTCTGGTTCATGTTTGCTTTCCCCTCAAACATGCCTCTAGTGCTTCCAGAAAGAAGAAATTCTCTGCATTCTCAATGTTGTGAGCTGAGGATTTGCAAATAATTGCTACTGTCATTGTGTTGCATGTGCAGGTCAGAACTTCTCAGTAAATCAGAGTTTTATTGAAAATAGATCTAATAATAAATGATTTAACCTAAACAGTAAAACTCATGTAATCATATATACAATATTTATGACATGCCTGTGATAGGTTTTAACTGTTATCTAATTATCATTATTAGTTATTAGTTATAATTGCTTGCAACTAATGAAAACTCCAACTGAAGTTTCTATGACTAAGTAAATTATGCATAGAAAAAAAAATACATAAGTAAGAAGAACAACCACAGCTTTGAGAGGACTCTGAAGCAAAGCAGATTCAACACCTTAGAAAGGATTCACCCAAGCATGGACTCTGATCCAAGAGTCACTACATACGTGTGATGTATGTACAACATGGGCTGCAGCTACAGCATTCCTTACGTTAAATCACTCCTGAACAATCTGGAGTGCAGCGCCCCACCTGGGCGACATCAGCCATTTTTCACCTGAAAATAGCATTTCAGTTGAAATCAAATTCCCAGAGTGTGTAGAAAGAGTAAAGAAGTAAAGGATCCAAGTTTTTTGAGGTCTAGTGTAAAGTTTCAACACTGAGTGACAATTTTGAGAGTCATGTCATCTGGTGATGTTGGTCCATTGTGTTTTATCAAGTCTAGATTAAATGCATTCATCTAATAGGACATGCAAAGTGTTTTGTGTCTCATTTAGCCGTCAAGCTCCATAGAGAACTGGATTTCCTTTTTACACCATGGCTCGGCACTTGTCCACACTGCCAGACTATCAATACCCATTGTGCGTGACTGGTCTTTAACCTTTCCTGACCTAAACCTGATGGTTAATCTATGGAGTATTGTTAAAAGTAAGACAAGAAAAACCAGAGCCAGCAATGCAGATGTGCTGAAGTTGCATGATCTTTAAAATAAACAACTGAAAAATGTCTCCTGATGTGAAATTAGTCTTTGCAATATACGAGTTTCACTTTTCAAAATGTAATTCCTGAAATACATTTTGAAAATGTATTTTTGATTGTTGAGAAGGAATAAGTTTTTCTCTAACTTCATTTCTAGAGTGTGTCTACATTTTTTGTGTGCGTGGTTGAAATGCTTGTTATATTCTGGGTGTGTCTTTTGTGGCAGCCGTCTTTGGACCCTGCTGAAGAAGAAACCTGCCTCACACCCAGGTCTTTCATAGAGACAGCAGTGATAAGAGCTGGAGTTTGATTGGCTGAAGCTTAAAATACTTTAGAGAATAAAATGTTTTATAATTTGTGCATTTGCATGCATAAAATGTGCACCTTATATTTCATTATTGATAAAAAATGGTCAGTGTTTACACTGTGTGTTACTGAAATAAATACATTTTCTAATTGACCTCACCACCTCTCTGGAAGGCTGATGTGATTGGCTGGTGTAAATTGAGAAGGAGGGGTTTAATCAGTGCATGGGGAGGCTGCTAGATGCAGCAGGAGAGCTGATGGGGTAGCTGCCATTTTTGAAATCTGCTGTGTTGAACCAAACTTAATAGACCACCTTTGTTGCTGTGCAGCCATGGTTGGCTGACTTATTTATCCTAATTTACTGAAATACACCTCCAAACATATTAAAAATCAAGTCATTTTCCTCCATCTAGAAGAGCAATATCAAACACAGCAACTTGGGGACTGTTCAAAGAAAAATGTATTTGAGTTTGATGACATCAGAACGCCTTAGTCTAGCACGCTTCTGCAAAGCTCTGTGGATCAGCTCAGAAGTAGCATCAAAGGAACAACAACCTTTGCAAGCAGGTACATACAACCCAGCAGGAGTCAAACCACTAAACATCTCTGAGTAAAGACGAGCTGCTGTTCATGACTCCTCTGGTCTCTGGCTGATTGACTTTGGGATTTGATTTTTAATCTATCTGGAGATGTAGGCTTAATGACATCACAAAGCAGTGGAGCTATGATGAATTTAACCAATTTATTTATGTAAGGATATGAGCAGTTTTTTTTTTTAATGTTACTCCTTCCTCCATCTAAAAATGCCTTCCCATCACAGTGACATCAGTTTTACTCAGTTCTTCTGCTCATCACTGATGACAACTTCTTCCTTTAAGAGAATTTTTTTTTTTCTCCCTTCTTTTTACTTGCTTTCTTTCTGTCTTTGTCTGACTATTACACTGCTCTCAGTCATCATCTCTCATTGAGCAAACTCTTCAGCTTCAGCAACAGAGGGTCTCCTCTGCCTTGGCAACAGTGTCGCATTATCATGTACCTGCTGGGATGAGAGGAAATGTGTTGATTTGTCACTGCTGCTGGGTTGGAGTTCATGCGGTGCGGTCCACTGCAGCCACGCTCAAAAGATATGAGGAAGTGTTGCATATTTCTCTCTGGTTTAAAGATTTAATGCTGTGCTATTTTTTTTTTTTGTCAACTAAAAGAATGAATTGACAATAAAAACATAGCTGGTTAACGGAGTCTGGATTGGAAGATTTCCCAAAACACAAAGTAGGAGAAAAAAAAATGCTCTGAAACCAAAAGAAAAATAAATTGTGCGCTGTTTTTTTTTTGTTTTTTGTGGGGGTCAGGGGTCAATTACATCACAGGAGACGTAATTTAGTTGATCAGTTGGTTTCAGTAAGCATTGTGACATACAACTAAATTTTGAGTTTGAATATCAAGGTTCAACCTTGTGTGCTTCATCAGTTATGACAATAAATAGCAGAAATGCCAAAATAAAAAAAACTTAAATTTGCTCTCATTAGTTCCCTTATGCCTGTTGTGATGTCACCGGAGGCGTGGTAGCTTATTTCTAAAAAGATAGGTTTTATTTGAACAATTTGCATCAAAAAGGCAAAGCAAATATAATGTGTTGTACCATAGTTGACAAGCTACTCTTCACTCTTCAGTGGGTTTGATCTGGCTTACAGAAAACTCAAGTGAGTAGCTTTAAAAAAAACAACAAAAAAAAAACAGGCTGAACATTTGGAACATTTAGGCACTCATGATCAACCCGATGATATCGCCTGGAGACAAACTGGAGCACCATCTAATTATGGAGACCAGAAGAGGTAAAGGAAACTTGATTTTTTTATATTATTTTTTGGCCTTTTTCCAGAAATCAGTCAAATGAACTGCTAGTGTTTGCAGTAGATATTAAAATGCTTTTTCATACCTTGACATGACAAAGTAAGTTTAAAAGAAGAGAGGCAAAGTGTTAAAGTAAGGATTCTGACCTGACTCTTTCCCCTGCGTTGTCCCTTGGTCATCATCCAGCGTCATGTCACCCAGAAGATGCTCCAGGATCTTCTCGGGGGTCCCTGACACCACCGCATACCTGTCAGACACAACAGAGTCAGCGGAGGAGTCCCTGCCGATGGAGGACAGAGATCTGCTGCTGCTCCATTCCTCCTCTCCCTCTGTTCCCTCATCGTCTATGTAACGAAAGTAGGGGACGTCAAAGGTGGGCATCGTCTGCGGCTCTGCCCGACTGGTGCTGGTGCTGATGCTCCCCTCCGAGCCCTCCTCATCCTCTTCGTCCTCCTCCTGCTCAACCAGGGCTGCATGCGGCGGCAGCAGCCTGCCGTTCTTCTGGAGATTCAGGGGCTCAGGACGAGATCCCATCCCTGAAGAGTTGCCGTGCCCTCACCCTGGCTGCACTTACTGCTGCGTGACACCTTCATGCATCCACCCTGGTGCGTTCACACCGAGGGATCCCCCTCAGTATGACTGGGAAGGCTGTCTCACAGCTGCATGCTGCTCATTTATGTCTATTTGTGTAGTCATTTATGAGTGGAGAGCTGAGATGTGAGCACGCCTGAGTGAGTGTGTGAGCGACAGAGCCAGAGGAGGAGGCTGATGAGAGAAGGAGAGCTGAGAGAGAGGGAGAGAAAGAGAGGAAGGAGGGAGTGGAGAGGCTTACCTCCTGGTTCTCGCCTCTTCCCTCCCTCCTCCCCTCGACCATACAGCGTGCGCTGGCCGCTCTGACAACACTCGACAGAGAACGAGCACGTCGTGGCCCCGCTCCCTCACACACAAGCGGACTGCCTCGTCACTCTGTGGCTGGAGAGAGAAAAACAAGAGGAGGGGGCTGAGTGTGTCATAAAGGAGAATCCCTTCTCTCCCTCTCACATAAATCACCTCTGATTTCCATCATAATACACTGTCAAAAGCAGCTCTGAAATAGAAAGAAAACGTCCGCATATATCATTATTTGGTCCTTATCGCAGGAGCCCATTCAGGGATTAACATAAATGAGTCACATATTTAAATTATTGAATTATGCACAGAGCCAATTAAATTATGGGGGATGTCCGGGGGGTTGGGGGGAGTCTATTTGAAGCTGTCATTTGGTTATACTGCGCATACTAACAATGGTTTGGACTTCTGCTTAGGCTTTGATCCACACAGTAACTCCCCATGTGATGGATTTATCCCCAATAAGGTGCATTTCAATTCTTTTTCATCATTGCCAACAAACCACAGTCTATGTAGGTCCCGACAACTCTGGCATACATAAAGTAAATGATAATCAAAGCAATCCAGTTGGAGCTTGAAGGATTGTCTTTTTTAATTTTAGTAGTTTTATAAATTATGATTTTTTTATTTTTTTATTTTTTATGTAGAATGCTTTTCAAAAGTATTTTCTTGAATCTTTACACAGGTTGTCATCTCACAACTACAAGCTTCAGTGTATTTTATTGGTCTGTTATGTGATAAGTAGACAGAAATTAGGACATAATTGTGGGGTGTGTTTCTTTACAAACAAAAAGTGTGGCTGGGATTTTTGTTCACACCTGTTTCATGTGTCATCCAGAAAATGGAAAGAGTGTGACATGATCCAAGACATGATTATCCATCTGAACCTTTTGTCTATTTTGCATTAACACACTAATATTTTCCCAACCAGTGTAAAAAAATACAAGATCTTTGTTTGGACAGCATTTATGTAGATGTTTCATCAAAAAAAAAAAAAAAATGTAAAAAACGTACAATTCTCACAACCCTGTCTATTTAAGCACATTTACATATTGCCACGGAGTAGCACTCTGATCCCCCCGACCTCCTTTTTTATGTTGAATTACTTTTGATTTTGTTTATTGATTTGTTCACTGTGTTTGTACAACTTACAAACGCAAATCTTTCCAATTGTACTAAGATCAATATTTTAGATCTTTTTACGAAGACTATCCCTTCATATTTTATTCAGATCTTTGGAACATTTTTCCTTTCTTATCAAGAAGGGTTCTCTTGCTATTAACAGGATGTTTCTGTAAACTTGTGATTAAAAGTTAATTATCTTCATGCAAAATGCAGCCATATTGCTTTCCAATTCTTTGTCTTCTTTTCAGTCTTTTGCAGCCTCCACTTTGAGAAAGAACTGTTGTGCTTGCAGTAACACAATTCCTGATTGGATCTGGACAGTACCAGATCAGATATACTAGCCCTAATGAAGATTTCACTGTATACACAATCATGCATCAGCTCCTTGCTTATAGACCCCCTCCTTCAGTCGTCATCAGTCAATGAATCACTTCTGTTCATGCAATTAGCCAGGGCTGACAGGCTGGAAGTGGCTGCAGTTTGCAGCCCTAATTGTATTTCGTGGAGACAAATTCATGATCCTTCAGTAAAGCAGGATTTCCTGGCACAGTAACATTCAACCAGAGGACACACAGAGACAAAAAGACTGACTTCTGCAAAAACAGCAGGGATGTTCCCATGTGCACAGGATGGAATATTAACTTTAAGACATGCTGGCAGCTTCTTGTTTGATTCATGACTTTGAGAGGATCTCATAAAGCTGTTCCAGCTGATCCCAATGTACGCAGGCACAAAGAAAATGCCTCTTGTGTATTTTCAACCATAAAAGGGTGGAGCCGTGGCACTTCTGTTCACAGAATCTGAATGGTGATGAAAAGATGATGATTAGCTTCCTGGTTCCAGTGAAATGTGCTTTGTATTTCCAGGCAGATCCACCAGGTGCTTTGCTTTTAGCTGCAATGCACAGCTTTTCTGACTCAAATCACAACACCAAAGCCAAAATGTGGATGTCCCTTTCCCCCTCAGAATGAATTATTGATCTGACCACATCTTCTCTGGGATAATTATCTGTGTGCAGTGGGAGACAGACTCATAATACAAAAGACAAGCAACCAGATCCCCTGAGCTGGTGACTAAGATGCAACACAGGTTGAAAAGATCTTGAGTCAACGTTTCCAAAGAAGTCCTCCTAATAAGTATGATCTTACACTACAGCTCAAAGTCACGTTCCTCAAATGTTTTCTGTTCTCATTCATGTCTGGCATGTATGGTGTGAGGCACCTAACAAGGCCTGCAAAGTATTAGTACTGTCAGAGTGCAGACAAGTCCAAATTCCCTCGGGCATGAAATGGCAAGAAGGTTAAGAGTAGCTTAGTTCCTCAAACAATGAAAACTGGCTCGCAAATTTAAAGTTTATTTTATTTTTTACGCAAAAAGAGGAGGTGGTATACAGCAAAGTTTCAAACTTCACACTTTCAACTCAGACAAGCTCTAAAAAAATACTTTTTAGCCTTCAGCACCCCTGTCAAAACCATCCATCGGTTGTCTTCAGCTTATCCGAGATCCGGGTTCAGGAGAAGACAGAGACACTTGCCTCTTTTTTTAGAGGGTTCGTTCTTCTAATAGAAGCTGTATATTGTTGTATATTTGGCCATTCTGTTTCAACATGGCATAAACTGATTTCTATGCTTCTTGATGTCTGATTTCACATACTGAAATGAATCACACATTATGCTGTACAGTCTGTGTTGGGTGAACTCCAGCACCAGTTTGAAGTACTTTGCAAACAAGAAACAGGATCATTTTATGTGATACTTTGATTTCTAGATTAGTTGAAATAATAAACTTGTGGTAATTCATTTTTTTTTTTTTTGTAATTTTCAATTACATTTCAAATGTACACCATGCAACTATGCTGGAGATTTAGCACAGTAAACAGAATGGCGAAGTTATCTACATTGCTGACATTTGATCATACTGTGATTGGTGGCGGCTCAATGCAGGTGGTGAACTTTACTAAATGCTTAACAGATGAGAAAATCTGGCCTTGTTAGGGAGAAAAAGGTCACAAATCTGACGCACGGGAACCCACCCAGAGACCACACAATGTACTGCCAGTACGGTCCAGCCAAAGACGTCAACCTTTCCTGCAATTGTCTAAAAGTCCAGCAAGCCGACACAGCTGGCAGGAAGGGTGAAGCTAAACCCTCAAGAGCTTTGGCCAATCAGAGAGCTCTTGGGCTGATGTAATGTTTTTTGGGGTTTTTTGGACTTATTTTCAAAGCACAGGCAGGTGAAACTGGACAGTGTGTGTGCACTTATGCTTTCAGAATTGCATATGTTGTAAATGTATTGTGCCAAAATCACCACCCATGTGTTTGTGGCACTTGAACACAAGGATGGTTTCTGTGTCCAACTTCATTAGAAGTTAGACACAATGTGTGCCCCTCAAATGTACTAATTTGACAGAATACATTATTATGCTTAATAAGTTAGAATGGCATTAGAATATTCATTTATTTCACTAACACTGTTCTCTATGTGAAACATAGTTTTTTTGTTACACACAGCCTGAAATTTGCAAGCTTTTATTTTTTTACTCCTGATAATCCTTCAACATATTTGATGTTTAACATTTAAAATTCAAATATAACATCAAATTAAGATTTTTTCTTTTTTGTTTTTTTCACAGAAATGTGGTCTCAATGAAAAGTATGTTCAAAACTTCTGCATGGATTTCCAAAAGGTACTAAAATATGCACATACAGTCTGGCTTACTTAACATGACTGCATGTATCAAGTAACCTCAATAGACTTTGAGTTTATGGTCATAGTCATGCTGACGAGCACAGAGGATAGTTTTAGTAAATTATTTTTGTTTTAAATATTCAAAACAGACAATATGCATGTGGTCAAATTTTACTGTACAAGGTTGTTTACATTTGTGCAGTAATATTTCTCTACTTCCGTTGAGTCCATTTTTTCCAACAGAACTTAATATAGTTTTGTGCCCAGTATTTTGTTTTCACAAATATTTACAAATATATTTTATAATTAAATTATGTATTTAATTAGGAATTTCCCTCACTCAGGGACAATTAATGGAATATTCTGTTCTATTCTGTTCAAATACACTAACTAAATGAAAGCATACAGCATGCCATCAGAACTGTACAATATCATATTGACATTTTGATTAATTATAGATAGTACAGAGAAATCAGTTCAGGATGTCAGATAAATGCTTGCATTGAAAATCACAGATTTGATCTTTGTATATCTCACCTCAGATGTCTTCTCTGGACCCTGGCTGTGGCTTTGCAGGAACCGGCAGCCATCCTTTGCCAATCTCTGGACCATCTCCAGTCTGGACAAGTCCTCCTTATCATGCAGGATGCATTTGCTACCCTGCTGCAGTACAGGGGACATAGAGAACATGTACTTGAGACCACAGTCCCACGACATTGTCAGCTAATGACCTGCTGGATTTAAAAGAAGTAAAACACCAGAGCAGCTCTGAAGCATACACTGGTTTGAGTGAAAGTCGTCCAAATAAGAAAAAGCTATGTATGTCAGAGTCGTCAAAGTAAATCCCAGGTGCTGTGCACCTTGCTCAGATCTTTCTAAAAGACTTCCTCAGTTAGACTTCTCATATGAGTCATGGTCTGGACTACAAGTGAAAGGCACAGCCCCACTCTGTCAGTGTTGCACCTTTCACCAAATGGGAGGGGAGTGGGTTTGGAGAACAGAGGAAACATCTGGTGAGCCAGACAGCCCAGAAAAGGAAGTTTCGAAAACGCAGGAGAGAGTCAGGACTGG